TATTTTGGCTGGAATTGGTCCAGCAGTCTGTTCCCTGTCCGAAGCACATATTCCGGTACTTCCTCCCCGTCGCCGGAGCTCTTCGTTGCAGTCGCTTGCAACGCAGACACGTGGCTGGCATTGACGTCCGTTAACCCGACGCTGGTCTTTTCGGCTACCACAGCATTGGGTTTCATCATGTGCCTGAATTCTTGCGCTAAGTCGTGGCTTGGCATTGCTTCTCGCACCGGCGTCGCGGCTTTCTGCCGGATGATTTGGTTCAGGGCGTTGTCCACTGGTAACACCGCGATGACTTCTTCCGGGACCGCGTCCTCAGGCAGCTGCGCTGCCTTGCAATACATCGCTTCCATTTCCACATGTTGGAAGGCGGGGTGACCTCGCTCCACCGCCGCCTCTATGAGCTGCACCACAACCTGACGCCGCACGCGAGCCTGATGTATTACACGGCCGATGTCCACATCGTCGCTCTTTGCATGCGCGCTCTTCACGATCACGCTGGCCATTTGCCGCAGCGCTTCCCCGCAGTGCGGTAGCCCACCCGCGTTCTTCTCGCGCTCTCTGCCTTTGTTTCCTGACTCTAAGGTCTGCATCTGCTGCAGCAAGTCCTCCCACGCCAAGGGGAACGTCGTTGCATTACCACGCGCCACCAATCGGTTTCGATTCATCCACTGATCTTGATCTAAGGCGCGATCCCCTCGTAGCTTCTGTTCCAAGCTGAAGCAGACCATCGTTGTAAGACAGGGGCTTGCACACAGCATCTCCATGACTGTGACTTCTCTTTCAAAAATGTCTTGCGGCGCATAATACACCATCATATCGTTGCTCAAGGCCGCTGCGGGTTGCTTTCCTTCCCACAGCAAAGCCCGTCGACAGCCATTGCAGACTGGCACGCGGCACTTGGTGCACATTTCATCCGCCTTGCATCGCTTCTGGCATGTTTTGTCTTCTGGGCAGCACAGCAAGGTTAGCAGCTTCCCCTGCAAGTTGACTACACATGACCAGTCCTGCAACTCTTTCTTCATCTCAGCTTGCGCGAAAACCGTGCCACCAGCAACGTAAAATTTCACATACGTTTCTATGCCCAACACTTTCTCCGCCTCTAGTATGCTTAAGCCAAATACACTTGTTCCCTCGCTGTCCAACGGCCGCATCCACCGTATCGGTTGATTTCGTCCCGTCTTTGCATGCGGGTACTTCCGTGCACACACAAAGCACAGCAACGACGAGACATTGTCTCCTTCCAAGCTTTGCCGATACAGTCTCAGGGCACGCCTGTCTATGGATACATTTGCCACGGGCGCGCCGTGCTGGCAGCGCCAAGTAACCGCTCCTTGGTACGCGCGTAGCTTTTCTGCTTCGGTCAGTGTTGCCTCCATGCTGCTTGCAAAGGCCGCGTCGTGAGCAGTGGCTATGTGCACAGCCAGGTCTTCTTCATTGTCTGCTTGGAACTCACACGCCTTGAAACTGCAGTGTACATTTGGCAGGTCATACGCCACCCCTGCTTCCATCTTTTGCCAATTCCAAGGCAACGTTGGCTGCTCGCTGATTGCTACACTCAGGCGCTCGATGCGTAGTTCTTCTTCTTCTTCTTCTTCTTGTTCTTCTTCTTCTTCTTCTTCTTCTTGATCTTCTTCTTCTTCTTCTTTTTCTTCTTCTTCTTCTTCTGCCTTCTTCTTCTTCTGCTTCTTCTTCTTCTTCTGCTTGCCATTCTCCAGCCACGCAGATAGACCTGCAGCCGTCCACAGGAAGTGCTACGGTCAGCACCAGGGCTGCCGCAGCAC